GAGATAGATAGATTGGAATTCAACACCGAATCTAATGATTAGATCACAGGGAAAATAATGTCTGTTTAGAGCAGCGTCATCCAGCTTACTAACTCGAATATTGATAACAATACAGTGCATGTTTAATTCCATCGTTTATTAAACTTGTGACAGGTACATGGTATGCACACTCGCAAAATGCTTAAATTGATAAATGTATCACTACATGCGCACAGTATGATTTGCTGACAAATGTGACGTGTGTTAGCATTTTCCTAATAAATACGTTGCATACAGCCGATAATAAGTACTGTGTACATTATAGATGCACACCGTAGACGGCATACACATGTTACCTGTATATAATCAGGTGTTTTAGGTTGAAACATTGTATGTCTGTTTGTTTTCTGAAGTTCCACAAAATGAAACAGTTTCAAAGAAAAGTGTTTTTGTTACTTATATGAACGTGTGTACATGTCATATACGTAAACACTTATAAAACATACATAGTTGAGTGTTTTACCTTGAAACATTACACCTGTGTTTGTTTTAGGAAGTGCTTCATGATAAAACAATTTAACAATTTAGAAGAAAAGTGTTTTAGTGTTTTACTCTCATGAACACAAATGTGTCTAATGCATTAACACTTTTCACTGGTGTTCACATTAACACTGGTTCATCGGGTTGAAACATCGTTGGTGATTTTGTTTCTGAAGTGTTTCAAAATGAAAATTTTTCGAGAAAAATCACATGTTTAAATCACATGTGAGAATGCTCAGATGTGATTTGAACTACAACTACCGTTCACCAAATCCGGTTTAATAAAATCCGTAAGACCACGAAGTACATAATTCACCACGTGTCTCGTTTTTTAGTTGTACTTAGGTTGGTAAGACCATATAGGTTGGTGCTTGACATTGTGCATTGTATTACGTCACTTTCGGTGATTGTCTAGTTGACATATATACCATAATGTTTACTCGCGATCCCCTAGACTTTTCACTCAATTTTGTTAATACTGCTTGCATAAGGTTGTATTCATTAATCCATAAATTTTCTATCAATAAAGACTTAAATAAACACATTTATATCCCCGTAAAACACCTAGTGTTTTATTTTGTTGTCAAAGTGTTTTAATAACTCCCTAAAACAGATTTTGATAAAAGATTACTGATCAATTTGCATATTTCAATATGCCCACAACGTCCATCACATTATAATTTATATTTATTTGATGTGAATAGGTGATTCGAAAACCATTTAATGCATCGATATCTTTTCGATTTATAGTCGACAATCAATGAACATTATGTTTCAGATATTTTAAGATTACAAACAACTACACAACAGTTGTCAGTTATAGGAGTTTCAATGGTAATTAATAGCAGTGCGTGTATTTATATCTAGCATAATTGTAAACAACATGTGTTTAATGTCTGCTATAGAGACTGACCTCGTTAGCAGTGATTCCGGTTATTAATAATGTTTACCGATCAGTTCTATGTTTGTCACAGCCACTCATTTAGAAAGACAACTCAGTGTAGTCTTATGTTGTATACTTACGTTTGCAGCTATCTCGTCTATTACGTAATATGTATATATATATATATATTATGTAGTACTGTTGATTTCTCTCTCTACTGGATACCAACTAACTATTTAAGTTGACTTGATATTTTTTTACTTGTCAAATAATACAGTAGTAACACAATGAATATAATAAGGCAGTTCATATTTGTCTCAGTGAATCATAAATTTTTGAGAGACACCTGTACAAAATACAAAAGCCAGCTAAGAATTTTGGATATCTTGCATGTTTTATGAATCTATTCACGTCTAAATGCAGCACTTTTTTTCTGAGATGAGGCATTAGTTTTTATACTAAAATATCTGAATTATTTGAATAAAGCTGGAAATTATGTCTCTTGAAATAATTAAACAAATTAGGCACCAATGTTTTTGTAAGATATTTACATCTATCACGGACATTTAGTAAACTGCTTTCCCAATGTTGTTTCAATCCCAAAACTTGTTTGTGTTCAAAATTAATTAGGGCAATGCATATTCATACTGAAACAAACTGTGATAAAGGGAATAATATTATATAACAAAGGGCAAGGTCACCAGAATTCAACTATGTCATTATACGTTATACATATCAGCCAGGTATCACAGCATTCCACAATAGGTACTTTGTTGGGGTTTTTCTAAAAGCATTCCTATTTTAGAAATTCAATATAGCTGTTTTTTACCACTTTCCGAGAAAGACTTTTGTAGTTGTCTACGTATGTCCGAATTATGTCAACAAAACTGGATTACAATTAAAGTTATTTAGGAACCTAGTAAAAATGTACTCAAAACTGTTTTAAATGTATTTAGTGGCCACAGTACAAGCACTACGATGAATATTGGGGGGGGGGGGGTCACGTCCTGTTCACTTTAGTGATATCTGCTCTATGTCACCACAATAAACGGTTCATTGTAGACAGTTTTGATTGTGCAGAGGTCGCCTTTTTACATATGATGAAGATAAAGAAAACAAACAGCCTGTCAGCTGAGATAGCTCCGCTGTTAGCAATACACATTTTAATAAGGAACAATATGTACATGTATAGTATCAGAGCAATCAGACTTGCTGTTTTTAACAAGAAGTCGAAAATATCACTTTTTACCAAAAATATTCACCAAAATTAGAGAATTGAAGATATCATCACGAAATGAACAAATCTGAGAGCGATCCACATGTAGTACCTAAATATGTAATATCAAAGCAATTGGGGTTTTTGGTTTTTAACAAGAAGTCGAAAATATCACTTTTTTGCCAAAAATATTCACCAAAATTAAAGAATTGAAGATATCATCACGAAATGAACAAATCTGAGAGAGGTCTACTCAAGGTACATATACACAAAGTATCAAGGCATTCAGACTTGTAGTTTTCAAGAAGAAGTCGAAAAAGTAAAACACTAACACGGACAAGAACGGACAAACACTCATATGATAAGCTCCGCTCGACAAAGTCGACAGCAGAGCTAAAAAAAAAAGCTTTATTGGAACTGTTCAGAAAATTGACATTGAATTTGAAAGGCAATACGTTAAAATTGACACACAAGTTAAAACAAGTCGCGTTTTGGACTGTGTTCGAAGGGAATTAATAAAATTTAAATGGCATCATAGCTAGGCACTTTCCAAACTGGGGGGGGGGGGTGAATGTTCTTTGTGATTTTTCATTTTAAGTCCACAATTTCGGCTCAAAGTGACAATAGGTCGATATTTGTAACTGTACAATTTGCTACAGAAATTGTTTTATTGGATTTTAATTATCGGTACTATTATCGGATTAACCATCTTGAAATATTGAATTTTACTGGCTCTTGGAGACTAACAATTGAGCATAAAGTTATCTAAATCGGTCAAAAAATCGCAAGGATGACTGCTTCTAATAAAAATTACATCCATAGTTTATAAGGGCACATATGAAGTATTACCTTCTGCTTCTTCTTGCTGTTGTTCCCATTCTCGTAATAATGCTTACCATCTATGCCTGGCCTCTCAAAGTACTTTTTTGTTGGTCATGGTGACAAATTTGAATTTAAGTATATTTTTCCCAAATGCGGTAAAACGTCATTCCCATCCTTTTGCTGAAGATAAATCACAATGTAAGCAGATTTTCTTTACTTGACTCGGCCACAATACAATAATGTGGACACTTTTGGGAAGATTATGCTAGATACTGTTGGAACAGCAGTGTACACAATATGTTAACATGTATATTTTAAGTCATAATGGCACAGACATGCGACACGAGTTTTCGTGTCCAATTACACTACGACAGTGATACAATCTGTCTTATCAATATTAAAAATAACCATATTCATTCATTTAGTGGACCACGCATTCAACATCCACTTGTACGTCAGTTCCATTTTTCACTAGTAAGTATAAATCCTTTTAATATAGGATTGTATATACTAATTGGTGTTTATCTTTGATATGATCGCAAATCGTGATTTATGGTGGTTCTTGTAAACCGTTGGAGCTTTAGTCTAGGTGCAACGTTTGGAGTGGTGTTAAGATGAAGTCTTTCCTAAAGTACTGATAAAGTTAGCCATGCGTAGGGTCTGAACGCACTCTACCAACTGCTACAGGTCGACCCCCAATAACGATCTTGGAGGTTCTTTCTCGTGCACTGAATTATTAATGAGCGAATGCCAGAGCGTACAATAGACCTTTTGCACTTATGCAAATCAACGTTAATTCCACCTTGTATGGGGCAAATCAACTGATTGATGAATCTTCTAATTTTGCAGTTCTGATAAATTGCAATTGGATATTGTGCATGGAAGATCGTAAACAGTTGTGCTCAGCATTTTATAAACACATTGGACTTTCGACTTCAACTGCAGAGTTTACAACTTATGATTACCTGTACTAAAAAGATACTAATTTTGTGAAACTATCTTTTATTTATGCACAAAAAATATCACCATTTCTCCTGAATGTTATCTTGGCATTCATATGCATGGCCAAGTACAATGTCACCAAATGAAAACATCTGTGGCAATGTACTTGTAAAAAAGATACAGATACACCAGCTTACAAGATTTGCTAAAGGTCATTCTTAAGGTTCCTGTTTATAATATTTAAAACGCACACAACTACCTTTTTATAACGGTAAGTTAATTTCAGAATAAATGTACACATATTACAATTGTTTTCATCAACTAGTGGAAAACCAATCAAACATTATATCTGCATTCAGAAATGGTTACATAAACATTGCACACATAAACTTTCCTCCAAAATGTGCCATATTTGCTCTATTCGAAAGAAATGCGTACACTTGCATATATGCTATGTTGGAAAGTGAGCATGAACAAATCACTTAGTTAGTTTGTTGTACTAAAACTACCACCTTTATTAAATGAAGAGATGCACTTCTAGTAGAACAAATATGATACATGTATACTTGTACATCCATACAGCAGTTTGACCATTGTATCCACACCAACAGACGCTTCTTGTATTTAAGTTTATTCATTATTAGATTTTGGCTTTAAAAAACATAGAATGTAACATCAATATGACATGACATCATACTATAATGTCCACATGTACCAAGCAATCAATCAGTACTTGTCTTACAATAAGCTACGTCAATTGGGGGCTATGGTCATGTTTTTTAGACGGTGACCATCAGCATTTTGACAAATAATTTGCTTGAAAGTCAGTTTACAACGAGGATGACACTTAATCTTTTTTCTTTGAATGTGAAAATATCAGATAGTATTCTTTTGAATAACACTGTAAAGCATACTAGAGAAATGTGTTTTGAAACACTTTTGAAACACTGGAGTATGATTAACAAAGTGATTCAAGGTAATGTAAGCAAAGTAACCCATTGTAATGTTAGCAGGGTAACCCAGGGTATTAACCAGATAACCCACTGTAATGTTAGCAGAGTAACCCAGGGTATTAACCAGATATCCCACTGTAATGTTAGCAGAGTAACCCAGGGTATTAACCAGATATCCCACTGTAATGTTAGCAGAGTAACCCAGGGTATTAACCAGATATCCCACTGTAATGTTAGCAGAGTAACCCAGGGTATTAACCAGATATCCCACTGTAATGTTAGCAGAGTAACCCAGGGTATTAACCAGATATCCCACTGTAATGTTAGCAGAGTAACCCAGGGTATTAACCAGATAACCCACTGTAATGTTAGCAGAGTAACCCAGGGTATACACCAGATATCCCACTGTAATGTTAGCAGAGTAACCCAGGGTATTAACCAGATATCCCACTGTAATGTTAGCAGAGTAACCCAGGGTATTAACCAGATATCCCACTGTAATGTTAGCAGAGTAACCCAGGGTATTAACCAGATATCCCACTGTAATATTAGCAGAGTAACCCAGGGTATTAACCAGATAACCCACTGTAATGTTAGCAGAGTAACCCAGGGTATATACCAGATATTCCACTGTAATGTTAGCAGAGTAACCCAGGGTATTAACCAAATAACCCAGAGTAATGTTAGCAGAATAACACAGGGCATTAACCAATTGACCCAAGGCAATGTTAGCAGAATAACAAAAGGCAATGTTAGCGAAGTAACCTAGGGTAATAACTAATTAACCCAGGGCAATGTTAGCAGAATAGCCCAGGGTATTAACCAAGTCACCCAGGGTAATGTTAGCGAAGTAACCTAGGGAATTACCAATTAACCCAGGGTAATGTTAGCAGAGTAACCCAGGGTAATGTTAGCAGAGTAACCCAGAGTATTGTTAACCAATTGACCCAAGGTTATTGACCAAACAATCCAGGGAAAGTTAGCTGGTTGGCTTGTACCAAATAGTCTGTAGTATATATTACCCCATGTATTAGTATTGCGACATATTGAAACAATAGAGTATCTCCCATATTCTGAAAAATTGTCTGGTTTACTGCACTCTCAATGTTGTTGTTTTTTATGTTATAATTAAAGATTGGATGGTTTTGGGAAAATAAATTGATCAACCTCCATTATAAATAGAAGAAAACATTTCTTCCAAAATATTCGTTGGTTGTTTCAAATAACAAAGAATGCCATGATCAAAAAATCATATGACAACAGTCACTGGTATGAGGGGGAATATTCTTCAGATTAAAAAACACAGACAGTCAGATATATCAAGAGTTAGATACAAGTATCTCCTGCATGGCAAAGCAGCCTTACTATAAATTTATAGGTCATTTCACCATTGATTGGCTTCGTCTTTATCAAAAAATTTTGGATTTATTACTGTTTATTTTCACACATTTGGTTCAAGGGTCAACACAAATATTCTGATGTAACTATATATCCAAGCAGTCAGCAATTCCCAAGCCTGCTACCAGAACAGATTGTAAATGTTGAATTCATAGTTTAGTCTTCATTTTTTGGAGTTGGCGGAGAAGAGTCAGTGTAGATCTTTAGTGCTCTTTCCTTCTTCGGAGAGTAAGTTACACGTTGCGTTGAATTCACCCATCTGTAAAGAAATTAACCTTTTAATGTTGCCATCAACACAATGACATCCCATAAGAAAGACACCAGTACACAACATTCCATATAAAAGATGAATACATGTATATCATATAGTATAATGGAAATAGTGCATGTGAAATGCGTGCTGAAAGGACGAGTCAGTGAAAATGAGATCCAGCCAACATACCCTTTTTCCTATATTTTTACATTCAACTCGCCAAAAAGCAGTGAGAATAAATTCCATACGAAACACCCAAAAAATACTTCTCAGCTAAAATTACAGGTAAAACAAAGATTTGTACAGTAATCTAAAAAGCGAAAAATGTCTGCTTTAATGCAAGATGTGATCACACTTGATTCACATCTTATTACAGCGCAAGACAAGGTTGCTATGTTCTTTAGTTTAGATCACTCCCTTCCTCCTGTATAGTTCTATGAAATTTTCTTATGTATTAATTGTATTAGTTAAAGCACATTACTAAAGCGCCCAAATCTATTACATTTAGTGTCAGCAATATAAGTGAAATTGTACACGACTGACCGTAAGCATTTTTTTTTAAAAGTAGTTATGGTATATTTAATGGTAAAACAAGTACACAGACTACTTGCAGATAAACAAAAAAACCTACTTTGCATTTTCTTTTTTCTGGATGGATTTTTTCTCTTCATCAGAGATTTCTTTCAGTTCTTCACGGTTATCTCTGAAAAGTGAAAGTGCTTGAGTTTAAAAGTATAATCAAAGATATTTTATTTGCATATACAGTAAAAATGTGATCCAGGAATGTGTTCACAGAGTAACTCAGGAAATTACTAACCCAGGATAATGCCAGCAAAAAAACTCTGTGTATATTATTACCAAAATGAACTAACTTGAAGCTATTTTTAACTGAGAAAACCAAGGTCTTATTAGCCAAGTAACCAAAGATAATGGTAGCATAGTAACCAAGGGTATTATCAGCAAATGACGCTGGGAATTATCAATCAGGTGACCTGAGTAATAGTAGCTTGATAACCAAGGGTATAAATAATTAAATGACCAAAGGTAATGATAGCTGTGAAACCAAGGGTATTATTAGCCAAATGACTGAGGGTAATGTCAATTATCAATCAAGTGACCCATGGAATTACCAAGCAAGTGACATCAGTAAGAGGGATATTACTTGTGTAACCTATGGTATTATTAGCTAAATGAACCAGGGTAATGCTAGCAAAGTAACCCAGGGAATTATGAACTTTATCAACAAGCGACCTGAGTAATGGTAACTGAGTAACCCAAGGTATTATTAATCAAGTGACGCAGGGTAATGTTAACATAGTAACCCAGGGTAATGTTATTTGAGTAACCAAAGGCATTATTATCCAAATGAATCAGGGTAATGGCAGCTGGGTAACACAGAGTAACCCATTGTATAATTAGCCGAATAATCCTGGGTATTATTAACCAATACTGACTTTTTATATAATTTTAAAACAAGTTTTCTCATTTATATTATGATTGGTATATAAATTATATATGACCTGTTTTTGTTGTGTGAATATGTGTAAAAGTCAGACTATAATGTTATTATTCCATATTTACATACCTGTAATATATAACTTGGCCATCATCCGATATATACAAAGGATTAACATTGAGTAATAACACTGGTGGTTCCCATTCTAACTCTGTCTGCATATCTAATATAGGTACTTCACATGGAAATGTTCCTCTTCCTTTAGCAAATTCTATGACTTCCGGATCCAATCCACTTACTTCGGAAAGCTTAAGAAAAAAAAAAATACCATACTTATAAGGATAGTGGTGTCATATTATAAAGTGATTGGTTACCACAGAAAAGTTATTATAGATGATTAAATAAGGTCAAGTGACAGTCCCGCTTTGGTAATTATATGAAATGAATGAACGCTAAGTCAAAATCACAAAATATCAGTCAATGAGAAATAAATGGGACAATAATAGTACAATGCAGCATGTACTATTTTGTAGAATTGTTAAATCAGTATTATTTGCCCACATTATTTGAACTATAACAACAATCCAAAGATGGAAATATACAACCATATTCCTGTTGTTATTCAAGTAGTAGCTATTCACATTTACTAGAATAGCAAAAATGACACATATAGTAATATGGAAAACCTTACCCTCTTTTTCAGCTCTTCAACAGTGGAGTTTTCCAGGATTATCTCCTGAAATGAATCCAGGGATAGATCAGAAGGCCGCCATCGCTTGGAAAATAAGGACAACTGTGCCATAGACATCATTTTTTCTGGTTCTGTAAAATATAAAAATCATTGTCAAAATTTGGAAAATGAACTAATATTCCAAACAGTCGCAAAATGATCAACATCAAGAAAGACTACATTGATGTACTGGTATAAGTTAATTGTGAAATAGTCAGTGCCCAAGGTGACATATCCACCAAATACTGATTGAAAACAGTATCATCCAAGTACTCCCCAAGTTAACTCAAAATGTCTAAGAAATTTTCTAAATTACCATTGCCAAAAAAAAAATTATTACTGAACTTCAAAATTGAAAATAACTCCTGTGATACGACACCAGCACCCTAAAAAGTGCCATGATAAATACATTTAAATATATTACAAAAAATAAATACAACTTTTTTTCATACAACTTATTGATGCCCATATCCAATAATAACTGTAAAATGCTTATACCTGGTAGTATTTCTACAAATATCTCCCAATTTGAATAAATTGGGATGTCATCTTCATAAATCTGATCATTTAGGAATATTGTGCCTGGATTCTTCCATGTTTTCTTTCTCATGCGGCACCTACACAGCAGATATAATGTTTACAAGATTAGAATTCAATGCCTATAACCTTGATTAGCCAATCAGAAAGAATTTCAGGCTATCATTGGCCAATCAGAAATGATTTCAGGCTATCTTT